AGAAAATGGCGGCCCTACACTTCCCAAACCAAAGGTGCTCACCCAGTGTCAGATTAGCGCTACTGAGGTTCAAGCCATACGACAGCTGATAGCAGGATACAGAGAATCCGCAGCTTTCCTGTACCGCTCAGCAGATGAGCTGGAGGCTTTACTGCCACCTCTGTAGAATGGCACCAAAGTTTAATTGGTGAAAATTTAATGATACAGAAATGAGATTAAAAGGTATTTAATAAACTTTATGTAGACTGAACATTAATTTATGGTCAGAGAGAGGTAAATTGAAAGATAATGCCAAGTCATATTTATACATTTTGTTTGTTTTTTTCATTAATGGCTTATTTAGATTAGGTCTTGTTATTTGAAAGCCTAAAATTGAATTTGACTTTGAATAAATTGAAAGCTCAGTTCATTGTAGATTTGTACAAGGTCCTGATATTTTTTGTATTTTAATTTCTTGTTGGGACTTCAGTAAGCTTGGTATTTTTTTGTGTTGACAATTTTGTAGAAGTTTATAATGCAAGTCATCAATAATAAGTTAAATTATTCATTTTGTATTTATTTTATGACCTTGCAATCTAACACCAGTAGAAAATTAAGGATACAATGAAACTTTACAACGTCTTTGTGGGCTGCGTCACCATTGCTGACCAATTTGTGAACAATAGTTACAATTAAGGTATCTCCTTCCCTTTGCAGTAAATCTAGTGAAACCATCTGCTATTGAACAACATACATTAAACACACTTAGCTATTTTAAATAACAGTTAGCCATTTTGGAGAAAAAGAATTTGTTAGGGTTGCCCTATGCTATCATTTCATGGCTCCATGTGTGGAAGAAAACAGGTTCTTGAGTGTGTTTTCATAAGTATGACTGTGAGCCTGCTTATGAACTTGCCTTTGCCTTGCATTAGAAAGAAAAACCAGCAAAAACTTGTGGTGAAAGCAAATAAATGTCAAGTAAAAAAAGAGATAATAATGACTGAAAGATTACTAAATTTAGCAAGAATGGCAATTTAGATTCCGTGGCATTTTGCCACGAAACCAAATTGAATGAAAGGACTGCAATCTACTTCCATCCTTGTAATTCTGTTCTTCTACCCCAAAATACTGGTTCTGTTTTGCTCTGTAGGATTCTTTATCCAGTTAGTAGGTATGTTTGGTGACATTTGGTTATTTAACATGGCAAAGGGAAAGAAAACTTTCGATAACTGTCCTTTTCGACACTGGCCCTCGTAAAAAAAGTTTTGCCTCATCACCATGCTTTATTTTGATTTTTTTCTGTCATGTCAGGCAAGCCTATACGATCCCTTTTGATACAAGCTGTTGACCACTCAGGAGTTTCATAGTTTGCAAAATGACAAGGGGCCCTTAGAATGAATTGTTACAATGATGATAATTAATTTATTATTAGTGGACTTGGAATCTTGTACCGGCAGTCAACTTCATGGCTAGCGGGGATGCATTAAGTAGGGATGCATTTAGGGTGTTGTTTTTGCCCGGTTTGGAGAGTTCTTATTCACGCAAGCTCAAACCTCACACTTTATATGTCTAATCTGTCTTTTAATGCTGCATTGAGCCATTCATCATTTGTTGTGTACCCTGGCCTTTTCTGATTTCTTAAGCTAGCTACTTTTGGCTAGGCTAAGTGCTTGAAGACACTAGGTTTACATATTTGTTGTTCTGCCATGTGATATTTCTTGAAAGTTGTTACATATTTGAAACTGCATAACTCTATTCAAATACATCAGGTCACGCACACTTTATAACTTTTTCTACAAGCATTTTAAGGTTAACGACTGACTCAAAACTAGAAAAAAATCTATCGATTTATTATGTACACATCATAGTGTTTCCTGAAAAAGATTATTCCAGATCCTGTTCTCACTAGTTTTAGAAATGGGGAGCAAAATGGCTGTTGGTTGTTGCCACCCATTAATACTGCGCTGCACTCAATTAAAAATCCTCTTTTCTGTGCTTGCCATGCTTGATGACATTTTGGAGTTTCCAATTGCGTGACTGCATTCTGTCACACAATGTGTAACACAACACACAACATTGTGGACTATGGAATTGATGGTGGAAGTGGTAGAGAAGTTACAAAACACCCTTTCTTTTCACTCCCAAGATTCAAACTTCCAGTCTTTTTTGTTTGTAGTTTTAAGTTTGGATGAAATCCTATTGTGTGACCATTTTAATGAAAGCTATTTATTTTTCAATATTTTGCAAAATTAAATTTTGCATTTGTTGTTGTTGTTGTTTTTAATTTGAATGTTGTATTCTTGGGTGTTGAAAGCTTAACAGTAATGCTGTTACACTTTTCGTCCCATGGTGAGAAAGTTTTTTCAACAATATAGGACAAGGTAGAAATACAGTATGCTATAATGTATTCTCATTTGATATATTTTCGAGGACCAGATATTTTTGTAGAGTGCATCTAACCTTTCTAGTACCCGTATCAGTAAATAAAAAGTTGTAAAATCATTTTCGTACAAATAGTAAAATTCTGTGTGGGAGAGTAAGGTGAGATACTTTTCATGATGTGATCATTCAATGTGTGACAATAAGTGAGCACTTATCACTGAAATCGTCCATCTGGGACAAACAAACAGCCCATGAAAGTTTTTTGTAAATTTCTGTTCACATGGCATTCTTAGGGGGAGACAGTTACCTTTTCTTTACTATAAAAGTCTATAAAGTGATCTAAACTAGTACACAATGAATAAAAGTTCGGCTACTCAGAGTCCTTTGAGCTTCAATTTTCAGTCAAATTTGTCTGAAAATTTATACATTCTCCAAACCTAGGAAGAGTATTTCTAATTCATTGAAGGTTAAAAGTACCTTAATTGTTTAATAACCAATTTAAAGAGAGTCAGGATATGTTTTTATCAAGATGTGTGATAGTTGTATAAAAATTCTTAAGTTATTCTTTGTTAAATTATCCTTGAAATCTTGTTATGTAGAGTTAAGAAGTCAATAAAATTTTTGACAAATACTTTCAGTGACTGTTGTCTCCAAAATAAGTATAAATTCCCGCACTATACTCTGTGGCAAGCCAAAGTCTTATACTTGCGTGCCCTGTGGAGGGAGATCTCACAAGGGCGAACACCACTCGCTCGGCTTTCTTGAAACTGCCTAAACATGATATGCTTGTGCGATTGCTAGTACTTGGTAATCCGAGAGAATTGGAATAGCCTTTTGTGGCCCGTCTCGCACTCATCCTCATTCCCTAGCGTTCGTATGGAAGTAAGATTGCGTGACAAACTAACAAACCTTCAATTCAACATCGGGCTGTAACGCTCTCCACTGGATAAATCATGATCCAGTGGATAATGTAGTTTGTTTTGTCAACACTTATGCACCGATAGTGATTTTTCCAGTGGATTGTGTTTTCACCCTTTGAACAACTAGGTCCAGATAATTTTCAGGTTTATGGCTGCCAATCTCGTTAACTTTAGACCACGAGTCCCTCTTTCGCTTAGTCCGTCGTGCGTAACTGCCAGAAAAAAATGGCCGCGCAAACTCCTGGGGGCGAGAAGCGCGCGCGTCTCGCCCCCGGGATTTCACGCGTTTTTTTTCATCGCGGTTTATTTACGGTCTTGCTCGACGGACTAAGCGAAAGAGGGACTACTCGTAGTCTAAGTTAACTCCCGGCATAGTCAATCGAACCAAATCGAACTGTATTTCTATCGAACTCAATCGAACTAAATTGAACTCAATCCAGGAATTGAGTTTGATTGAGTTCGGCAATCGAACCAAATCGAACTCACACAAAAATAGTTGGACAATCGAACTAAATCGAATATTTGATTTCTGAACTCTTGATTTTTTGTAAAATTGGTGTTGAAAATCAAAAACAAGTTTCTCGAGACTCAAGATGCTTTAGTATAATACGTGTTTTTCATGTTTTCGAGACCACATGACAATCTTTGTTCAAGCGGATTTATTCAGTGAACATACGCAACACTTTGGATTGTGTTCGATTGAGTTCGACTGCCGAACCCAATCGAACACAATCTAATGAATTCAGTTCGGTTCAGTTTGATTTGTTCGACTGAGTTCGAATGGTTCGGAAATCGAACTCACACAAATTTCGGTGTTTGATTTGGCTCAATTGCCGAACTCAATCGAACTCAATCGAACTCAATCCACGGATTGAGTTCGATTGTGTTCAATTGAGTTCGATTTCCGAACGTTGGAGCATGGAGTGACTATACCGGGGTTAACTTCCGGCTTCGATTTCTTTGTCCTACACAGGGTTTGGTATTCAGTCTTGAGTAAACAGCGTTACGGTTTTGAACCCACATATCCAAGTATGAGTCAAGTACTTCCCCCAGGACATTGAGCTCGTGAAGGTTGAAAATGATACAACAGTTATGATTATTAGGCCTTATGCAACAGTTGGTCACGTGACGTGCTTTTAAGAAAACGTTGATTTGGACATTGTAATACATAAGGTTATCACAAATGAAAAGAACATTTACAAAAAAGCTTACATGAAAATTTTCAGGTTTATATCCTTCATAAAAGGAAATTTTTATGGACATTAGAAATTAGAAGGAGTTGTATGGGAAGAAGTCGCTTTGCCTCCGGTAACGCTCCAGTGGTTTTCTAGACAAATCCTAGAAATTTTAGGAGTTTTCAAGCTGCAATAAAATCTTTGCCTTTCGTTTTAAGAGCCTATAAGTTTCCTTTGTTCCTAATATTTTACACCTCGTTCTATCTTCAATAGTTGTATGCTAGCAGCTTCCTTTTATAGTGGTAGTGATTAATGACAGAATAGGAGGGCAAAGCTTCCCCCGGCTTTCAGTATTCAAATCGTCATTAAATCTCAACCTTCCACCGCAAAATTGGTGTTCTTGTTATTTGAAACATGCTCTTTCCGGTTCTGAAATTCATTTAGCTGCAGCTAAAAGTTTAGAATTATCAGTCACGTGACCAATAGTGTTGTGTTTTTTAGCTAAAGGGGGCTCAAGGGCATCGTTTCTTTGTCACTAGGCTAATCATCCAAATCGGATCCTGGATAGCCTGGCCTGGATAAACCTCCCTTTTCTCATGTAACGCCAGCCTAAAAGCCAACGCACATAAATTACAAAATGGCCCGTGCACTATATCAAGAGCGCAAGTGAGTTCAAAGTACGGAACTTGATATAGTGCACGGGTCATTTTGCAATTTATGTGCGTTGGCTTTTAGACTGGCGTTACATATCTTCGCTACAGTGACACAGTGCTGACGAGCCCCAAGAAGGACGAAACAGCTTTCCACTGTTGCGATCCAACTTTATCGGTTCTTGTCATGTTGGTGTCTCGAAACGTTTTTCACGTAGTATCAGCCTTGCAGTCTATTGCTCCTCGATAGTAGGTACGGGTGGGCGAGAGAAACAAGAGCGGGGTCAGGGAGAGAGAAGGGGAAGAGCTCTCTCCCCAACCCCACTCGTTTTTCTTTCGCCTGCCTACTTTTTCAATCTAATATGCGATCATTCTCGTTCCCATAACCCTTTTCGTTTCTCTTTGCCGACGCGGCCTTGGCATGAGAAACAAAGGGCTCCGGGGCCCGTTTCTCGAAAGCCCCGGAAACTTTTCGGGTCCGTAAAACCATAGCAAAATCTCGAACCTTACGACAGAGCTGTTGTATTCACATATTCTTAATATGAAGAGAAGTTCCCTTCATACAAGAAGTTTCAGGCGTATACACTTCTCCGTTTTTAGAATGATGCAGATGGACTGAAAATGGCTTTACGGGCCCGAAAAGTTTCCGGGGCTTTCGAGAAACGGGCCCCTGGAGACAAAGCATTTTCCAGGACTTCCGGTACTCATGTATGCAGTCGTTATGTTTCCATATACTGCATGGAATTGTCAATGGCGGCCGTCGTTATTTATAAACATAATATTTTAAATCTAGCGACCACAAGCATGTCACCTTTTGAAATGCAAATGTTTATGATAATTCTCGGAATTATTACCAACAAGCATTTATATTTTCTGAAATGAAAATCTGGAAAAACAAAATGTGAAAAAATTAACTACTTGTAGTATTTTTCGCTTTTCTCGAAGAAACGGTAAACGGACCTCATGCTAGTTAATTCCCACGCCCCTGATGGGTAGGGTGTGAAAATATTCGTCTCGGGATAAAAGTTGTAACTTCTACTCCCCTTGGTGCCAATAATGTTACAAGTATGCGTCTTGTCGGTTGGAAACCCCGTTGACTATTTCGATGAGAAATGTTTGAACAATGACACACCAATAAATTTTCGAAGTATTTGGACGTTGCACCTTACTTGACAATCTTTGCGGTTTCTTTTTGTGTTTCATGACATGTACAGCCAGAACTAATATGTTTTTTCACTCCTTTGTTCATTCAGCAATACTGCAGCCGTAGCGGGAGCCGTAGCCGTGGAGGATACGACCTGAGCAAAAAGAAATTAATTTCTGAACCTTATGGGCGGGATTACATAGATAATTTTTCAGAACAGCCGCTTAATTTTGGTCTTTCCTCGTAGGCATGCACTGCACCGAACACCCAACAGAGTTGCGGGTTTGGTTGGACTTCTATCTGTTAAAATTCCCAACCCCCGGGGCTGGGAAATCACTACTGTGTCACTTTTAAAGTTCCCACTGTAAAATAGTGCCTTATTTTCTCTTCACTTAGATGGAGAGTATTGCTTGAAGAATGTATGTATCATAGCCAGAATAAATGTTTATGCTTGTAAGAAGCTCGTCAGTTATGTACGAAACACTGTGAAGAATGCTCCACCTACCACGGAGCCGGTGAGAATCAATTGCGTAACCCTCTTGTATCGCTGTGATTACATGCGGGCAATCTGTTTATATGCAGCTATTTAAAACAGCATTCAGATATTACATCAGGCAGGTTATCTTGTAGTAGGTCATGGCTTGTGTTTATTCACGGGCTTGATAAACTGTAGATATCTGCAACCAGAAGGACGCGGTGTTTGTTTTCTGTGTGAATAGAACATAAAGATATCATGTAGAGAGCTGCCCGCAAACAAGATGGTAATCTACCAACGTTTCTTTGAAAATTCGGGATAAATTAACCAGACGCGTTTTGTGGTTTATGTTGGCCACTGATATCAGCATGATGTGAAGTCGTCGTGTTGAAGTCTGCTCAGTCGCCAACTCACCGACCACCCACACCTTAGAACTGTGCACCGGAAGTGAGCCTAAAACACTTTTTTTTTTCCTGCACAGACATCATGAATACAAGAACCTTACTTATTATGTATGAATGGCAGAAATAAAAAGCCGAAGTCTTAACATTGACTTGCATTTTAAGTCTGACAAATGCTAGGCAGAGAACAGATTCCATACAAGTTTCGTTGTAATAAGATTGCGTTACCTTGTCACACAATCTAGACAGCTTTTTACAGTTTACGTTTCCAAGGTTTTATCAAAATAAATTAAGTTTTTCTACCAATTGTTCAATAGTTTTCTTTTTCAATAGTATCTCCAAGGTTTTATCAAAACGAATTAAGTTTTTACACCAATTGTCCGATAGTTTTCTTTTTCAAAAGCGATACTATAATAACAATTTTCTACCCGCAACTGATATCAAACATCCGACTATAAACAAACAATTTTAACGTGGCGGAAAAATGGCTTCCCGCACCCTTCCTTTGGTCAGAAAACAGGAAAAATTGACAACGAGCACCAGCTGAGCCAGGTTTAAAACCATTTAGACAAATCGGATTTCACTCAGTGCGCAGGATGATCTGCAATCTGTAATGCAGTATATGACCAGGCCAGTCGATTGTCTCTGTCATCGAGTCCTGAGCGAGTTATAGCGCAGCATGCCGGTTTTATTAGACAGACAGACAAGCGGGTTCCTCTTGACAATCTTCAGTAGAAGATTTCAACCAGATATGAACCAGCGAGGGTAAGAATCAAGTGGTTTTATAAACTTTCAAGTATCATTGTACGCACGCACAATGATGCTTCAGGCGCTAGACTCGAGCCACGCGTATTAAAATAAAAGGCACGCACGTCA